CTTCTGCAGTGCTGCCTAATACAGTCCTCTGGGACACCAGTAACTCTCACATGTTCTATTAATGATACAACAGAGGTAACAGCTCTCATTTCTCAAAAGCTTAGAAGTATGACGTGGACAAGCAGGATGTTCTCTGTACAAGCACTAGGATCATACTTCTGAGAAGTTCTCAGTCCCACAACGAAGGAACACAAGTATTGAATTTCCTATGTCTAAGAGAATTTTTGCAAAACACGATGCCAGGATTGGAGTCTCTACAGGATCTCAGGCAAACAAGGACACACAAAGAAGCAAACAGAAATAGTTTCACCTGCTTGTCTGAACATGCTTGAATCTGATCCTGCCACAGAACTTAACTGTAGGGTTGTTTTTATTTTCATTTGAAAACTGGAATTCCTTCTCCCCATGCTCCACGTCAGTACTACAGACAGCCCAGGTTACCCACCAATTGCATGTGTTACAGAAGAAATTCTTCCACAAGTAAAACAGTGGCATCACAACTGGCCATTTTTAAAAAATACTTCCACCAGACTTTTTTTCCTTCTACAGAAGAGGACAAAACAGTTTGTCAGATGCTTTCCCACACTGAACATGTCATTAGAGTGGGTGATGCACTTACAAGTAAAGAATGCTAAGCAAAATAAAGTAGTTAATTAAACTAGCCTGACTTCGAAAGGGAATGAACTCTAAGCTTTTCTATTGATTTCCAAATCTCAATTAGCTTGGAACAGGAAAAAAAAAAACAACAACAAAAAAAAACCACCCAGAAAACCAGCCATTTCACAACTGGCTCATTAAGTCCTGGCTCTCCTGCATGATTTTTGTACTAAGGATCTCCACAGGTATCTTGTAAATATAGTGTTTTGAGGGGCTTTTTGCTGGTGTTCTAATTATTAAAGAGTGATGCCTATCCACACTCAAAGCCCAAAAGCACTAAAAAGGCAAAGTGCATTACTACCGAGCACTAATTATAAAACTTTTGCACCAACCATACCACCCCTCAGAATGCAGTGATGTTGTCCACAGTGGCCCAAACAAAGTCTGAGAGTAACTCAAATTAGCATTTCTATTTCCCTTTTCACTTACTAGGAAGAGTTCTGCCTCCAAGCAATGTGGTTCTCCAGCTGACGAGATAGGAGGAACTGGGTACTTGAAATGTTTCCATCACCTACCATTTCACCAATAAAAACGGCTTCACGCATTATGGTTCAAGTATGAAACTGGAAAAATAGAAGTGTACTGAATATGCATGTTTTCGTTTTACATGACCAATATTTTAAGGTCTAATGCATCCAATGATCTTCATGAATATTCAAAGCGCAAAACTCAGCTAGTTTTACAAAGCCAGCCCAAATTCAGCTACCTGTTCTGCGGTAGTGTAACAAAAAAGCCCCTCGCTACCTAAAAATATCATGGTGAAAGATCTTCAGGAACTAATAGCTCCTCCTCCAAACCTCTCAGTACAACAGCCAGTACTCATCAGGAGGGCAAACTCCAAACAAAAACTTCAGCTCCTTCCTAAGGGTTACAATGACAAATGGGGCATCAAATCCCAATAGCCAAACAAAAGAATAGGAATTGAAAAGCACCTGAAACATTAAATGAATAATCATTTCAATGAGCTGATATATATGTTGCATTGTGCCTTCCTTGATCTTCATTTCTATCAGGTATAATTAACAATAAATCATTCTGGAGGCTACAGCATCTGTTATTACATAAATAAAACACTAGCAAAGGAGCTTGTCAAGACTGATTTATATGAAGAGCTGCTCTGAAGTTTATTGGATTTCCATAATAAGAAATCATACCATATAATATATATTTTTTTTACATTAATCTTCTGGGTTGTATACAATAATTTCTGAACAAAAACACAACTTAGTGCGGGGTAAGATTCTCACAAATTATTTATCAGATAAATCTCATATGTTTTAAATAGATGGTGAAAAGAAAAATTAAAAGAGCACCATTTTATGGCAGGACAACAAATTACTTCTCTAAACTGTTTTAAGTTAGTCAAAAAAAAGTAGGCTCTCAGAAATAAGTTAAAGTTTCTTAAAATATTCCACCTGACAGAACTATCAATCATAAGAAAACATTCTTCTGTAAATTCAAAGTGAACAAAGAAAGTATCTTCACTGCTTTCTAAAAACTACAATGAACAGTATTAGTACATAGAGTAGATTTTTGAAGCATGAATAAATCAAACACCACAGAAGCCTAAGGACCTCTCAAAAGCCACTAAGGTCAAACCTTGCAGGCTATATTTCCTCAGAAGTACAACAGTCCATGTTCAGGCAGAGTAATGGGAACTCCACTGTGTCAATACAGGGTTTGGAAGCTACACTAGAGAGGAACAGAGAACTTGCACCTCAATACCTACAGCAAAAGAGGAACTTAAGCAAAGCTGAAGTTAATGAGATGACTACAAGAAAATCACAGGGTAAATCTCACTGCTATACACTAAGATGTCATATTGGAGGGAAGGGGAAAGTCATGACAACAGCAGTCAAAAACATTACACACAGACAAAGAGATTCTTAAGGGGATAAATTAAGAGTTTGTATAGTGTTTTTATTTCAGAAGTGTGAAAACCACCTCCCATTCAGAAAATGAATCACCAGTGATTTTCTAGAATAGATGTGCACTAGAAATACAAAAAGAATAGAATCAAAATATTTTGGGACTAATCTAAGTCTCAGAAGCAAGAAGTCTACAAGTGCAACTAGAGGCTCCTTAGAGCCCCAAGTAATTCAAGGGGGTAATTAAAGCAGATAGTAAAGCAGTGAAGTTAAATGAATTTTCTGCATTAGTGTTTTATTACAGACAGCAAGGGGAAAGAAATTCCAATTCCAGAAGCTCTTTGATGATGCTCTGATGCCTTAACAGAGATTTGAGTCTCCAAATGTTAGGGAACAACTTAGAAAAACACCATATTTCAACAATTTTGCCAAATAAGAATGAAAGTTCTGCTGCTGTTTATTTAATAAGTACAGAAGCACATTTTAGATCTTAATCCTATTTTACTCGTGTCTGTTGCAGGAAACAAGACAAAAATTGATGCAAAGACATGTAATCAAATACACGCATAAATAAAACAAAAAAGTGAGTGGTTTTGGTAAGCTAATGTTACATAAGTAACAGTTTTCACGTCAAGAATACAGGCATTTTAACTTGAGTATGGATACCATGTCATACATACCTGATCATGGACTTGACCCGTTACAAACCCGTTCTACAACTTACACAGACTGAGCTTCTTTTTAATGTTCTAAAGTGTTTAAAAGCTTCACGTAATGAGATGCTTTACTGAGAGTAAAGAATCAGTTAAGCATATTTAATGTGATTAATTTGATAAAGTCAGTTCCACTCACTTTAATAAAACAACCAAATAACAACATGCTTAGGATACTTCCTCTAAACAAACAAATAATCTGTTTTCTGTTGCAGTGATTATCACTCAGTTTCTGATGTGTATCACAACCATCTACAAGCTTTCAAGAATTTTATAAATAAAATGGTTACAAACTATGCAACTGTAAATAATTAAAGCACAGCGAGCAGAGACAGACATAATACTGCGGTCATAAGGTGGTATTTAACAATAGCCAATTTGAAAAGACAACATACTATGTTGTTTTTTGTTGGTATCCCTGGTTTTATTTTTACTGAATGAAAACAAATTACTTGAGCCTCAAGCACTGTGAAGAAAGGAACGTATGAGTGGCTGTAGATCATTACAGTGCTGGACACTGAGGCAGAATGTGCTTAAAACTACTTTTAGGAAAGAAGATCTTTAAAATTAAAACTGAAGCTACATACTGCAACACAAAAAACATGCTCAACTGAAGTTGCTCTCAGCTTCCAGTCCTACCAGCTGTCCATGGGGTCTGTAGTTTTTCATTATGATGGTCCCTAAAATAATTTACAGATTTATCTAGAAACTCACTCAGGAAAGGGTCCATCCTGCCCTTTCCACACCTTTCCCAAGTGCATGTGATTAGACCGTAGCCAATAATCACAAGTGACAGGTCAGAACTCAACTGTTCGTACCTCCAAGATATGTTTTATGGATAAAAAGTGACATAAAAAAGAGGAAGAATGAAAACTGCTTGTTGGTAGAGTCAGCAGATCTGTCTATGTGTTTCTTCAGAGTAACATATGACCAGTTACACAATTCCTTTTATTATATTTCAGGAAGGAAATAATGAAGACACAAAGGTCAGCTTAGAGTCACTGCCACCAGAATTCTCCAAAAGCTGCAGATAGGGCTCTGGGGAAACAGCCAACTATAGATTCACTATGTTACCAAAAAATATGGAATGACAGACAAGTTTCTTCAGCTTGATCTTAAAATAACATTTAATGTATCATGATTTATTGATGTTAGTGCCCCCCAAAAGAGCTGGCTGCACTGAAACTGTGCGAGCATCTCAACATACACTCACATCTATAAAACTACCCAGTAATACTTTATTTATGCACATTATGTTTATGCAAGAGATAAATGGATTTACATGCATCCAAATATAAATAATAATGAAGACTGGATCACGAGTGGGACAAATTCCAGTCATTACCAGATACGTGACAATAGTGTCATTTGATGGTATTATGAATTTTCCTTCTAGGAAATAATTCTCTTCCTACAGCTAGAAGTTAGCTGGACTGAATAAAAGGACCAATAGCCAGGTCCAGTGTCAGCTGAGTAAGTACCAATTCCAGCTGATGTACCTGACCTGAGCAGCTGCCCACACAGAACATTCACTAGCTGTCCTCCTAAAGGCACCACCCAAAAGTTTATCACTGAATTTCTGTAGGTTAGATTTTTGAAAACTAGTAGGTGTTTGAAAGAAAGTCATTATATCCTAGGCTACTATCATATTGTGATCCCAAAATCTATTTTACCTGCTAAATATCTGATGCACTATACGCTTTAAGTAGTCCAGAAATAAATGGAAAGGCTGTTTTTCCATACGGTAGATCTATACACTTACTGTATTGAGTGCATTAAGGGTAGTGTCGTCACGGGAGGCTGCAACACAACCATCTTCTGTGGATCCTCCATCACACATGCCTGCAAAAGCTGCCATGCTCCTTTAGAGGTGGAAGGGGAAAAAAGTTTAAATTCTTCAGCACATCATGCAAAACACAAATAGTATATTCACATATTAAATCACAAATTTCAGAACCTTGCAATGCTGTGGAAACAAGTGAAACAAGGTGCCACAAACACTGCTTTTGTTATGCAAACCTTGGTCATCTCAACATGGAATAATTAATTCAAAATTAAAATCCAATCCAAGTGGATTTCATCAACTGAAAATCTGCACTGCAGTAGTACCAAAGCCTAATCAGGATAATGGAAGATATAACCTCCAGACATGAGACAGCAAACCTATTGTGATCTCAGTTTCACTACGTTAGAAAACTAACTTAAACTGCAGATTCCTCACATCTCTGAATTCTTGCAAACTACAAGTAATTTACTCATACTTTGAATTATTATGAGGCTCATCAGTGCATCTCATTAATCTATCAGAGATCTGTAAGAAACTGAAATGCAAACTAGAGCTCATTTGAAAAACATTTTAGTTTCTGAAGGAATCCCATGCCATCACAGCTATTTCTCTCAGAGCAGTTACTTCTCTTGTTACAAGGGACACATCTAATGCTCTTTCTATCATGCTAGCACATACTGCTGGCTCTGCACTTTTAAATCCAAATGGCACAGCTAAAGCAAAGATTCTGTGTTGGCCCAACATCAAATCAGAACATTCTTGTCTCAAACTAAACATTTCAGGTTATCTGGTTGACATCCACACTACACCAAAACAGAAGAGAGAGTGACTGTAGCCAACTGCACATACATGACAGTCCACATCTCCACTACAGCGTTCTAAAGATACTGGTAGTATCTTGGTTGCAATTACCTTGCTGCCCTAAGGTACATAAGTAAGTCACAGTCATTGACTCCTGGCATCCACACAAGTTCTTCATGCTGTGTCACTGTGTCACCGTCTGGGGAAGGAAATGGCTGCAGATCAGGAAGCTTGGCCTAGAAATAAAATGAAGAGTTCATACAGTCAGTACAGTTGTTAACAAGGATAGGAGGATACACGAGTGTTATTAATACCAAATTTTGTAAATTCTCTGGAATAAGATGATCTCATAGATGGAAGATATTCAGACAACAGGTGGTGAAGCTATTTGATGCAAGTTTCAGAAGTCTGAGGAAGCTGGGTCATTAAGCCCCAACCTGTTCACTTTATCCATCATTCCTTCTTTTAGGAGAGCAGTTCACTTTCTGACAGTTATGCAGAATTAACACCACCTCTCAGTCCACCACCAGTGAAGCCCTTTTGTATATAGACAAAGTGCAAAGATGTCTGCAGAAACATCACAGCTTGAAAGGAAACCATTTTATACTGTGTACCAAGTCCTCCATTGTATAGAAGACAAACACTGTTGGACAATCTACTCTCAAAGAGACAGTTTTCATTTGTCAAAAAGATGCTGTTAGAACTTCTGGCCAGGCTAAAACACACTCATGTAACATACTAATATGAAAGATGGCAAGAATGTGGCTGCCATATGTGTACCACTACACATCAGTAAAAAAACCCTACCCATTTGACATTGAGTTTAAAATTAAGTGCTCAGTAAATCATGAAAACTCTAAAGAGAAACAAAGAAATTTCCTGAAAATGAGATAGCTCAGTGAAATTAGCTCTGCCTCTAAATAAGTATTACACTGTATCCAGAGACCCAATTAGCATCTTTAGTCATCTACTGCTATGGGATGAGATAGCCTGAGAGCCTCTTCTGAAACAGTTTTTAAGCCCTGTAATTACCTCCTATGCTCACAACTGCTGAACATGTTTGAAAGGCAACATTTATACATAACCAGTAATTACAAGTCACAGGTTCAGATGTCTTTCATGTTCTGCTCTTTAATCTGTAACTTTATTTTACTTCTTCCCTGGGAAAATGGATTATGTCACTGAACTTCTCTTCTGGAAAAAGATAAGCAAGCGTTATACCAAGATGAGATTTCTGTGAGAGCTATGCTTTCCAGCAACCAGAGCTTTCACAAATTAAAAGTTCATCCTATTTACCCTACGAACATGCTTAATTACTAGATTTACTCCTAAGAGCAACTTCCTCTTGAACATCTCTGGTCATTAATTTGTTAGACAAGTTTTCATAGCAGAACACTTAGCAGAGATCCGTTCTCCTCCTCCTATGCGTGTGAATTTTGAAAACAACTGCGATTCTACAAAACATTTACCTTCATTTGTGTCCCTACTTGCTATTATGATACAAGCAGTAGTTTGAGGTATCTGTGCACAAAGTATCAAAAAAACCCCATCAGTCCTCTAGTAAGACACACAATTTAAGGAAAATGAAGGCAACAGGTATTCATCAGAAACCACTACTGGGATCTCAAGGCTGTTTCCGGATTCTGCTCCACACACCTTATTCTCAGTAAGGTGGGTGGAGGAAAGTGCATCCACTCCCTGAGTTAACACAGGCCAGTGTGTTTAATAAAACAGGACTATTTTTACACTTTCCACAGAATGAGTCAGACTACAGAATGGAAAACGGAAAAGATAATCTTCAATCTGACTTCCTACTGCAGCCTACAATCAACCATCATGTATCTTAAGATTATACCTTATACTAATTAACGGGAGGAGAATATATCCTCTTAGTGATGACATCTGTCAGAAACAGAGATGCTCAGCAAATGAGTGAAAGAATAATGGAAGTTGAAAATATTAAGCAAGTAAAAATTAACAGTATTCTAAATCAGTGGACTTTCTTCCTACTTTTTTTTCCATCCATAAATGCATCTGGTAATTATACCTTACAGCACAGGTGACTAATACGTGTCAAAATATTAGATGACAGTTTGAGATGAAAGTTGTTTTGAAGGTATCATTTACAGTAGACTTATAATGACTAGTGAAAAGAATACTAGAGGTTTAATCACCAAGAACTATTTTCCACTAAATGCAAAATATCCTTAAGAAAGTTACATAGGTTCCATAAATGTTTACTTTCACTAGTTATTTAAAAAGATTTTTAAAAGAGTTTGAATGAATATTTATCACTTGGATGGAAAAATCCAGCCCTTGGACAGTACAAAGTCAATTCCACAGGTAAAGGAGAGCACTCAGTTCCTAGTGAGGAGATGCAAAGCCACAGACACACCACCAGACAGAGCACAGAGACAAACATAAAAGGTAGAGCAGGTTTACAGTGAATTCTGCATTAATGACAGCTACCTTAACAGACATGCTTAAAAGCACTGGATCCTCTGTTAAAAAATGGATACATACAGAAATATGTACATATATATATCAACAAAGTTGCTGTACAGGAAAGAAACCTCTCAGGTTTAAAGTTCCCACATCCTTCTAATTTTGTAACGTTGTTCTTGGAAAACTGCTCTTTTTTTTTAATCACTATTATAATTCCATTTTGTTGACTGCATAGATTCATGAAAAAGACTCTAAATGTTATAGGTAACATACTCTACAATTTTACTATGCAAATTAAAAGATCTACTTTGAAAATAACTGGATAATACCACCAAATTAAATTTTTAGTTTATTAAATATTGCTTGGAGAAAGCCAGCTTAGAATGTATTGATTTCTAACTCCAGAATATCCTCAGTAATAGCTGGAATTCTTCCTTCATTTTCAATACTTACTCAGATTCCTTCAATTTTACTCTGTAAGTAACCCAACAGCACTTCTGCTACTAAAAATCATTAACACATCAACATTTGACACAGAAAAATCTCATTAACTCAGGATGAATCTAGAAAACACTCAGTGTATTTGAATGCATACGATTTTAAGTAAGTGTCCTGTGAACAGATCAAGTGGCAAAAGCATGTCCTCTAGATATTAAAATACAAACAAAATTCCTTACCTGATGGCTGGGTCCAACTCTGATTTCACCTTGGGTACTGTTTAGCCTCCTAATATAAAAAGAAAAAACAAAACAGGAATGAGAAAGAATTACAATTAATGCAATTTAGGATCCCATTCTCTATTTTTGTCATTGCATTTCCAATGTAAATGAAAGAGCAGCAAACATAATTTGGCATTAAGAAAACAACAAAGGATATAGTCAGGGGTGCTACAGGCCAGACTGCAAATAATAAAAACCAATGGGGCGAGTCTGGGAACTTTTAGTCAAGCAACTGATGTCAAGAAGAGGATCAGTGTGACCTGTTTAGATTTCATGCAGTACAGAAGCAGCACTGACTTCTAATCAAGATCCTTTAAAAGCTGCTACAGTTCTCTACAGCTCTGAACTGCTCAAAACCACCCACCAACTCAAAAGCCCCCCATGCAGAGAATGACTTTCCAACAAGCATCTGACTTCTGCTGGTACCATGTTCCTTTAACTGCCTATTTCAACACCAAACCTAAAATATCACAGACAACATGGTAAGCACTAGGCTACAGAGTAATACACAGGAAATATCATGTTCCTCATGAACAGCTTTGTGGTCATTTTCATCTAGAAAGAGAAAATATCTTAAATACAAATATTTGGGGTATCAACCTTTGAAGAACAGAGCCTTGCGTTACCAGAAGTGGCAAAACTCATCTCTCTTTTTTTTCTTGACAGAGTTCATGGTAAACCATTCAAGTGACTTTGGATCTTACATGCAATATTATCTAGCTCTTGTTTTAAGAGGTTAAAATTATTATTGCTGCTGTTAATTCATTTGCTAAAATCACATCAGATGGCATGACACAGAAGCATGGAAAATCTAAAAAGCACTAAAAACATATCTTGTAACATTTGTAGAAGTGAATTTAATTCAATTCATCCAAAAAGGGCTTCCCTTCTACAGAATACACTTGGTCTTCATATTTTTCCACTATTTTGAACAGATATTTATATAAAAAACTTCAAGTTCCCAATGAACTGTCCTCCATGCAGTGATAATTATACTGTGAAGAGCTCTGTGGTGCTCACAACAAGGGCTGGAGTTACTGAAACATCACGTTATATGCTAGAAGAAAAACTATTTTACCATGCTGAAGTAGAATTACCCTGGCAACAACAGAAGTTAAAGATACACCAACATAAACCAGAATAACACATCTGACATGATAGAATTTATTTTTCTTCCTAAATTTTGAATAGATTAATGAAGTAAATAAAACTTTATCACTAAAGAGTGCCCTTTGACCTTTTTTCTTTTTTAAATATAAGCAACAAGAAGGTACACAAACAGAATTATTTACTGGAAATACTAATTTCTCAAGGACTACAGTTGAATCCATGAGGCCTCTGAGCTGTAACCTCACATATCCAGCTCCTGTCAAGAGCCAGAGCACTATAGTCTCTAAAGACACTTGTGCCTGAACATTGGTATTTGGGATACTAAACACAGCTACAACTTGAATGACTCTCCAAGATTCCTGTAAAATAGCATTAAAGAACACAACCAAATCCAAGGAAATTCAATATCCTTAAGATCAACATTCTTTTCCTATACATTTTTTTTAACAGACATCTTTTATTTATATTCTGCATATTACATTAAAAGGACAACAAAATTCAGAGCTGTTGTAAGACAAATTTTTGAATTTAACACGTCAATAACTGCAACACATTTAACTTGAGTCTCAACACACTGGCAAGGAAGAGCACACACACAAAACTAACAAATCAGCATCTTCAATCTGGAAATAGCAAACTTGAATTCATCTTGCAATTTGCTGTTAGAGGAATAATGACATCATTTCACAAGTAAGCTGCCACCCTGCAGGATTTCTGATTCACCCTGCTGTGTTCACAGTGATCATAAGCAATGACTGAGAAACAGCTTCCTTTAAACTTTAAAAATTAAAAACACAGCTGTAAACTGCTAGCCCAGAGCAAAACTAACAACGGAGAGTTTAAGCCATTAAATAGTATTTGAAGTCAAAAAGGTTACTGGAGGGTTTTTTTTGACATGGTCATTTGCATATCTTTATGAAAACTTTCACCTTAATATTTCAAAGTATGTTTCACGTGTGTTAAGTTGAAACTTCACCTTACTAACCATTCTGAAATGTTAACTCATTGGTGCACGAGTGGGTGAACTACAGCAGTGGGTCTGAATGGACCTGACCCAAGACAACGCGACAGGAGAACCTGTCAGACAGGAACTAACACCGGCTTTGTAATGCTCAATCTTACATCCCGATGTCTAGGCAATGCTACCTCCCTGGTAAGGAGATCCACTCTAAAATACACCCCAAAATTCTCCTGAAAAGAATGAGAACGCGTCAAAACGTTTTTCTCCAATGCGTATTTTTGCAAGACATGATCTGACACCGTCCTCTTAATTTCAGGTTATGCAAAGAAATGACTGAACTAGAAAAAAATCTATTTTTTATTTACAACAAAGTTATAAATTAAATACTAGGATATATTTTTTCAGGTACGAGGCATCAGAATTTTTCCCCGTGAGGAATTAAGGGGAAAAATGACAACAGAAAATGCTGATGCTCTTCCTTGATTCCCAGAATTCATTTTAAAGCCAGGCACACCTCTACTAGTCAGTGCAAGTCAAACTTTAACAGGTCTACGCCGTTTCTGCCAGCTACAATACTTCACACCAGCCAAAAGTGGCACAAGTTTTGTACTTAAACAGAAAATTAAGCTATTTTCTGTTTGGATAGGAAAAGATCAGCAGACCAAATACCCTCCAGCTCCCAGTTTTTTCAGTTGTATCACACTGAATATAATACATAAAGCGTTGAAGAATTGCGATTGCAAATTGCAAAGATTAAGGCAAAGTTTTGGATGGGAATTCTGCTCCTAACTACTCATGTGGAGTTAAGCTGGGGAAACTCAATGGGGCTTATCCATGATTCCCCACATGGAAATGAAGTGTCGAGAGAAATATTTCTGTGTGCCTTTTCATCACTCATTTACCATTTCCTGATTATATTCACACCCCAAAGGTACTCCCTTCCCCCTGCCCCAAAAGGTAAGGACTAGATTGAATTAGGCTCCTGTGCAGGAAGCTCTTTCAGATCCCACTACATCACTTTTTTTTTTTTTTTTTAAAAAAAAGGACATAAAGCTGATCGCTCTCTGCAAGGGCACACAATCTGTTAAATAATTTTTACTGTTTCCACGTCCCCAGGAATGGGTTTACAAATGGAAAGAAAATTCTTGCTATGGGAACTAAAAAGCACTGTAGATTTTTAAGCTAAATTATATTGGTGGAGAGCAATTACAGTAATAATGGAACAGCACTTTGTGTTTATTCTGTGGGCAAGAAAAAAAAGAGGACTCAACACCGTATATGAAATCTGACACAAAAGAAACTGATGTAACAAAGCAGTATCCATAGCAACAACAACTTAATATTTCAGTCCTCTTCAGCTGCAGTGGATTAAATATAATGACAAGATGTTCCCTTTGAAAAGTAACCTGTTGCCATGACAACGTTGTATTCTGCAAAGTAAACAGGGGCTGGTCAGAAAGGAGATGGAAGCTTGCGACTGAATATCAAAAAGGCAAGAAGCCTCTGTAGCAGAGGAGGGCAAAACAAGCATCTCTAATCCGAGAGAGGCTTGTTCCAAACAGTCTGGAGAGAAGAGAGAGGATGTTCAGTTCAATAAAGCTTTGTCCTTTCAATTCTAAAGCAACAGGGAAGGTTGGAGGTTCAAGGCCAAAAGCTGCGCCACTGAGAGACAACAGTTCAGAGGTGAGGATGAGAAAGGAACAGGAGGCAGCACAGGGCGGTGCAGAGCTTTAATTTATCAGCTTTAGAAAGAAGGGAAGAGAGGAAGGCAGGCTGGCAACAACAGCTCCTGCATGATTTCCAATAGGGAAACAAGTTTAACCCTCTCTGTTCATCATCTCCCTCCTGTCTGTACTGTACACCAGACCTGTACCATTTACACCCAAGCTGGCACACCTGGTAGCCTTTGTCCATGAAAATAATGCAGCACTGCAATGCCACCAAACCTGAACCATGGCAACAAGAGAACTGTCACAAGACAGAGTCTGACCTGCAATGGAGTACAACAGATCAGCTTTGAGAATAACTCGAGTTCAGGACTTGCAACACCAACTGCTAGTAGAGTATTGCCAGAGCCATGTAGGATTGAAGGCTGGAAACGTGCAGCAAAACTCTCCAGAGTTTGGAGGCAAGAGGCATTTCCAGGCTTCTGTGTAGCGCTTCTCTGTACTGTCCTCTCTTTGACATGAATCCAAGTCAGTTCTTTACCCAGTACATTTAGTGAAGATCTCTGCTAGGAAGTCAGGCTTCTGAAAGGAACTCCACATGCTGTACACATAAGGAAGACCTTCACGGTCAGGAACCGTGTGTACAAGGTGGAAACTTAGAAATTGCGATACTGCTGCCTTCACGTTTTCCTTTTTATGACCAAAGTTCAGCAAGAAACACGCTACGCAGTAATTGCACACATTTTATACTGACTTACATGCCTCAGACAGGGTGAGGGAGGTGGTACAACTGCAGTATCACATTGAACCAACTCTGTTCTTCATCAGTTCATTTCACTGAGCAACAGCCATGGTTTAATTTTGTTCTGCTGTGGTCACCACACACTCGATGCTCTGCACCACATACTGCACTGCCACCAGCTTTCTGAAACACCAGCTATTAGCCAGCAACACCTCAGAAAACATGAAAATAACTTCATGCTGCCATGAAGTTCAAAAAAATAAAACTACAACCAAAACACCATGACCTAAACATCACTTATATGACAGCTCTCTGTGTTACTGATGTAACTATTCTTGGCATAATCATTCCTGATTCTGTAAATTGAGGTGATCTGTAACTAAACTAGAAGGATGTTGCAACAGAAGAAGGTTTTTAAACCAGCCAAATAGTTCAATCACAGACCATCTCTCAGTCTATCTGATTCCCTTTGTAGCTCTCCAAAAAGGGTAATCGGTTACATAAACTGAAAGCATGATACAGTAAAG